TTAATAAGAATAAGGATGTTCATACCTTAAACACTAGGAACAAACATAAGCTTGTAATGCCAGTTACTAGACTCCACAGAATTAGTAATTCATTTATGGAGCAATGTATACGCTTTTACAACAAAATCCCAGAATATGTTCAAAGTTTGTCAATAAATAAGTTTAAAAGTTTTATTAAAGAAAAACTGTACAAAATGGGTTATCATAATATCAAGGAATACATGAATGAAAATAACCCCTGGGAATAAGGTGATCGCCACCGTGCTGGTATGAAAATTCATTTAAAATTGTATAAATAAAATTATTGTTATGTAAAATTATGTTTAAAAAAATGTCCCGCTGGGTTTCTTGCTGGTTCTTCCTAGGACAAAGGTTTTCTCCAAACCAGTGGTAAATAAAAGAAATGACTTTCAATAAGTATTATGTAATAATCAATATTGAATAAAAATAGTTTGTAAAAAAATAAAATACAGTAAGTATTATAATAAAAGCTGACAAATGTTTTGTTATTTAAATTTATTTTGTTATTTTCTCCTATGCCAACCCTACAAAAATATTTTAAAATATTGACAGCTCCTTAGAACCTTTGCCTCTGTACGGTTTCTTTACTCATGTGCCTACGCTGCGTGGTCCCCTACAAGCTGCTAACTCCAGGAGGATGTCACGCGCGCGATCGAGCTGACGCGCGCCTTAACGTTAACAAAAAAGTATTTTTCTCTTATAAGAATTTAGCCACTTGTTATTTATTTTTGACTTTTTATTCAAGTATGGCTTCTCAAAAAGCCAAAATGCCGTGTGCATAGCATGCGGGTGCTTAAATAACAATAGGAATGTCAACTTTTCATTCTTTACTGTTCCCAAGGATACCGAAAGGTAATATATTATTATTAATAGGTAGATCTAGATAATTAGGTACTTAATTACTGACGCCATAATAACAGATTTATTATTTGATTAGTGACCCGACCACAGCTCCGCGGTTTTAGATTTTTTCGCGTATAATGCTCTTTCATTAATCATGAAATCACGTGTTGCTTGTTTGTAAATAGCAAAAAATATGAAACAGACAAGTGACTGCTCCGTGGCGCGGTGGATTAGTAATGGGTTCAGCGCTAAGGGCCGCGGGCCTATACTCGAATCCCGGACGGAACAATTATTTGTATGGCCTACAAATAATTGTTGTGGGTCTGTTCTATGTATGTAAACCGTCCCTGGGATACAGGAGAAAATTCTAGTGTGGAGGTAACGTTTTTTAAAAAGAAAGGAGGAGAGACAACTAATGAATGAAAAAATTTGTACAAACGACTTCAATATTAATATGCATTATTAAGGATAACTCTAAAACTACTGGTCAGATCTTGATCAAATTTATATGGGATGTATAAATTCCATATAAGCACCAGCTTTCAAATAAAAATATAATCATCAAAATCGATTCACCTAAAAAAAGTTCTGAGGTAACACACAAAAAAAATACAGTCGAATAACGTACCTCCTCCTTTTTTGAAATTAGGTAAATTATCTGATATTTAAAGACTTTTACGTTGTTATAATCTTAATTTTCCTCGACATTGCATATTAACCTTCCTCACATTGAACAATAATGTTTTTATTATTACTGACGCCGTATTAACAGATTTTAACAATATTAAACTGTAAAAAATATGGCAATATAACTTCAGTTGCGTTTGTCTGACTGAATATATATAAAAAAAATTACCACATTAAAAGTAAGTAAAAAGACCCCTTGTAGTGGCGGGTAAGAATACCCCCTACCCCATATCTTCCCTTGGGTGTCGTAAGAGGCGAAAGAGGGAAACTGAGGCAGAAGATGGGCAGCAGCATCTTTCTGATAACAGCAAAACAACAATAACAAACTGCGGTTGCCAACCCGCTCGCCAAGCGTGGCAACTAATGCAATATACTTCCGTTATTAAAGTTACGAAGAGACGGGCCCCAGACCCAGTCGGCCCCGCTATTCCTGGCTACGGTGGCAAACATGGTAACGGCGGGGCAAGGGGTGCTAAGAATCTCCGGTGGAGGTTCAGTTGCCACGTAAGACGACTCGACCTGGCAACATATAACGCACCTCCCTGAGGACTAACGAGAAGATCCTGGAGCAGGAAGAAGAGATAGACCAGTTGCGCTGAAATATTATAGGATTATCTGATGTCTGAAGAAAGGGGGGAGGACACGGTAATCCCCGAATCCGGCAACTTGTTCTATCACCCGAAGGGCGACCATCTGCCCCAAGGAGGTATCGGATTTACCGTCCACAAGTCTCTCGTTAACAACGTTGTAAAGATTGAGAGTGTGTCGACGAGGGTTGCGTACCTTATACTCGGAATCACGAAACGGCATTCGCTAAAGGTCATACAGGTTTACGCACCAGCGTCGGTACATCCCGATGAGGAGGTAGAAGAAATGTATGACGATATATCTAGAGCCATGCATTCTTCTAGAACCCATTACAGAGTGTTAATGGGAGACTTCAACGCAAAACTAGGCAGAAGACAGAACAGTGAGCTGAAGGTGAGGAAATTTGGAATAGAGCAACGGAACCCAAGAGGCCAGCAGTCGGCTGACTTCATGGAGAAAGAGGGACTCTTTATGATGAAATCTTTCTTCCAGAAGCGGCCCAACAGTAAGTGGAGCTGGTCGAGCCCCGACGGTTCGACAAAAATGACAATTACTTCATTATGACCCCCAGACGACAACTGTTAAGTGATGTCTCAGTAATCGTGATGGTGAAAACCGGCAGCGATCACCGAATAGGTCACGTCTAATGAAATGACGGCTCCGTAGCGCAGTGGCTTAGCAATAAGTTGCAGCGCTAAGGGCCGCGGGTTCGAATCCCGCACGGAACAAGTATTTGTATGGCCTACAAATAATTGTTCTGGGTGTGGATGTTTGCCCTTGTGAAATCTATATATGTAAACTGCCCTCGCGATACAGGAGAAAATTCTAGTGTGGAGGTAACGTTTCTTTTTAAAAAAATAAAAAAAAATAAAAATAAAAAATAAAAAAAATGAAATCAACGCTCCGTATCTCTTGTGCAAAGTCCCGAAAGCTCGAGCTACAAAACCGTTTTCAGTGCCTAGAAGATTGCTATGCAGTGGACGATTTGAATAACAAGCTCGTGGAAACTGTCCATGCGGTCGGAGCTAAGTTTTGCAATACCTGACGCAGAAGAACATAAAAACCCTCCGATCACACTCTTAATTTCATGAGACTGCATATGAAGCTGCAGTCTTCAGTAGATTTGACAGCATACAGGCAACTGAACAGACAGATCTCCAAATGCATAGGGCGGGACTTACGCAACTTTAATACTGCTCGTATTGAAGAAGCGATTGAGCGGAACCAGGGCTCCAATGTCTTTGCCAGAGATCTGTCTGCCAGAAAGTGCCAACTGTCGAAGCTGAGGCCCGAATGTGGCAGCATCGTTTCCGAGACACCTGAGATTTTGAGTTTGAGAGGTTCTATAGGCAGCTGTACACGTCATCGTTGAAGCCACAGTAAGTATCAGTAACGATTCAAGAGCAAGTCTTATCCGACACTATTCCGATAATATTCCGAACGTCAGTCTGAGCGAGATTAGAATAGCTCTCCAGGACCTTAAAAACGGCAAGGCCCCAGGCTAGAATTACAGCGGAACTTCTGAAAGCGGGTGGAAAACCGGTACTTGAAGCTTCTGAAAGCGGGTGGAAGCGGGTACTGGAAGTCCTTAAGAAGCTCTTTAATTAAGTCCTCCGTGGTGGCACTACACCGGGGGAGTCGAGCAAAAGTGCGGTGGTCTTGTTCTTCACGAAAGGCAACAACGCTTTCTTGAAAAACGACAGATAGATTTTCCTCCTGAGCCGCGTCCACGTGCTGTTTTCGAGAGTCATTACGAATCATCTCGCATGCAGACTCAACTTCCAACCTCCCGAACAAGCCGGTTTTTACTACAACCTTCGGCAAATTGTACAGAAGTCCGAGGAGTACAATTTGCCACTATATCTGTCGCATGTTAATTATGAGAAAGCTTTTGATTCCGTCGAAATTTGGGCGGTGATGCAGTCCTTCTAGCGGTACCAAGTTGACTGTCGGTATATCGAAGTGCTGAAGTGTTTTTCCAGTAAGGCTACGATGGCTATCCGAGTACAGAACCAGAGTACGAAACCTATCTAACTGCAAAGAGTTGTAAGACAGGGTGACGTTATATCCCCGAAACTCTTCACCGCTGCATTGGAAGACGTTATCAAGATACTGGACTGCAAAGGATAGGCCATATTAGGAAGCTCAAGGTCTCTCAGCGAGCTATGAAGAGGGCTATGCTCGGAGTTCCTCTGAGTGATAAACTTAAAAATAAGGATATGCGCAGTAGAACCAGAGCGACCGACATAGCCTGACAGATCAGTAAGCTGAAGTGGCATTGGGCCGGCCATATAGCTCGAAACACCGAAAACCGATGGGGAAAAAGGTAGGGCGTCCCCCCACTAGATGGAATGACGACCTGGTAAGACATGCAGAAAGTCGATGGATGCAAGTGGCTCAAGACATCAAAAATAACACTTTTTTTTGAACTTGTTGACTAGACTATTGGCAGAACATGAGAAAATTTAGAAATTTATAGTGACGTGAAAAATCCAAGTTTGTTCCAAATTGCAAACTCTGAAACTGTTTATTATAATTTGTAGTATTTATTTGCCACGTTGTCGGAGGTGATGTAAACTATCGTTGGGAAACTTGCTTAGCTAAGATGTTAAAAAATCTTTTGAAATGTATGTAATGTCTGCCAACATGAATAGGGTCATGTAATGGACTCATCCTTGCCTCAAAACCTTCCCAGGAATAAGGGGCACAGTGCAAAGGCCTCTTATTCCTGGGAAGAATTTAAGTCAAGGATGAGCCCAATCACTGCCCCAATTCATGTTGACAGGATGAGTTTTCTTCTACTATGAATTAATTAAATATTTAACTATACACTAGAAAGAAATAATTCAAGATTCTTTTACCGGCTGCTGAAAGCACGTGTTGGGTCCAGCGGCGCCACCGCCTCGACACGCGCTATCCTTTTCGCCTTTAATAGAATCCATCTCTGTTCGCAAGTAACGGACTTCGTATTCCAATTCGCCTAACTGTTTTTCCTTTAAAAACGTTAATTATTTCACAATACAATTTTAAGTATAAATAAATAAAAGCAAAGAAATTGGAACTGAAATTGAATTGTAATGTCAATTACTGAAATATATCCATATTTCCCTAATTTACAGGTCGAATGACCGCGTTTCAAGTTCTGAGTCTGAAAACTTCAAGTCCGAGCAAATATTTGTTAACACTATACTTGACTTTAATAGTATCTGTTTGTCAACGGAAAAGTCTTAAAACGAACATGGACAAGATAAAGGTTGTACTACGCTTGTAGTTGTTGACAAGTATGTTTGCCGTGAACAAAGTCTCCAACTTGGTGATGATGATAATTGTTAGATTCAGCCGTTTTTACTGCATCAGATCTAATTGTATTCATTAATTAGACGAGTTCCGAAATCGAAATCAATTTGGACCCAGTAACGGTAAATATCCCAATGCATACCCGGATTGCCAGGTGATGGAGGAAAACATATCAGATTTTCCTTAATCACGTATGGAATGCTCAGTGAAGAACGGAGTAGTGGAAGCATTACCGAAACTCCGATGTAGTGCAAAGAGAACAATGTATGGGATTAGCCGTTAAGAGTTCGGCTTAACTTCTCTGTCTTAACCGTGGCAGAGTGGTATTAATAAGAATTTTTACTCGTACAAAAAATAACCCAGTAACGAGAACCACGTGATAGAGCCATGCTGCAGCTATATTATGGTTGAAGCACGAATAGATCGGCTTGACAGAGGAAAGATCACACGATTCACAGAATACCAGCGTTAAATAGCAGCTTAATGCTGCTGTGTTTCGTATGGTGAGTTTCGAGAACCGGAGATCCTTTTTACTGAAAACGTGACATATCATCTTAGTCCTCAGATTGATTGATTGATTCTTAATCGGGGATAGATGTCCATGGGCCACAGCATCCGCTTAACACTAGGTAACACTAGGTCCCGTTTATTATATAAAATAAACATAACGGACTATACTATCGCCTATACTGTTTATACTTCGGTCTATCGCTACTTATCGTATTTAATACTTAATGGTTAAAACTCACAAATTCTAATGTGGAACTTTTATATTCTTCTAGTTTATCCACTAGCTCCTGGGCACTTTTAATGTCACCAACGTCTCCACACTGTAAACAAAATTTATATTATTAAAATAAATATCTCAGAAAAATATTTTCTTCACCATCAGCTCGTTAAAGTTTTCCTATAGTCACTTCTTACAACACTGACATGATGAAATAGTGTAAAGAATTATCTAACGCAGCCACGGTACGACATTTGGCAGAGCCCTCCGTATAGACGCTATAACTCACACTCCCCCTCTCTCTCGCACCGACGGTACGGTTGCCTTCGAGGACGACGAAAAGGCTGAGTGCTTCGCAGATAGCATTGCCGAACAATGCTCTCCTAGCTCTCAACCTGTCGACCTCTCACATATTCAGGAAGTGGAGGATGAGGTCCGCCGTCGGAACTCACCCCCTACAACCTCTGACCCCATTACTGTGTCCAATGATGAGATCTCGTCCCTCATCAAAGGACTTAAGCCCAAAGAAGCTCCGAGCGCGGATGGCATCTCCAACCAAGCCCTTAAACACTTTCCAGAGCAGGTGTTAACCCTCCTAGCTATTATTTTCAACGCCTGCTTCAATCTTAGCTACTTTCCAACGACGTGGAAAGAGGCAACTGTCATTGGTATTCCCAAGCCAGGCAAGCCTCTTAACCTCCCCTCCAGTCATCGTCCCATTAGCCTCCTCAAGGCCATGGGCAAGCTCATTCAAAATCGAATGAGGCGCTATCTGTTTCCCACAGACGGTGACCCTATTGTCATCCCCCACCAATTTGGTTTCCGAGCGAAACACTCCTGCCCCCAACAAGTTCACCGCATTGTGGAATACATCCTCAGCGGTTTTTATCGTCGTCGACATAAAACCATCGCGGTCTTTTTCGACATCGCCAAAGCCTTCGACCGAGTCTGGCACGAAGGCCTTATATTTAAACTATACAGAGTAGGTCTCTCCGATCGTCTAGTACGTCTCGTGGCCTCTTACTTACAACATCGTACCTTTCGTTTTAGATACGAAGGCACGCTCTCCTCTCAGAGACCCATCAAAGCTGGTGTTCCTCAGGGATCAGTACTTGCTCCCCTCCTCTACATCTTGTACACCAACGACATGCCAATCCCGTCAAATGGTGTACAGCTCTCCCTATTTGCAGATGACACTGCCCTTTACTTTAAAAGTCACACACTACCTTTCGTAAGGAACAAGATCCAAAAGTCAGTCGATGACCTAGGAGCTTGGTTCCAAAAATGGCGCATCGATGTGAACCCGGATAAGAGCTCCACAGTTCAATTCGATTGGAAACGACGCCGATTCAAAATCAATAAAAATATCCCACCAATACGTATGTTAGAGACCACACTTCCCTGGCATACGTCTGCTAAATATTTAGGTGTCACCCTTGACACAAGGCTTACTTTCGAGCCTCATATCAAAAGAGTCACCTGTCTAGCACGGTTCTATCTAGGTAGGCTTAACAGTATGTTAGGTCAACATAGTAAAATGTCTCTAAGAAATAAGCGAACCCTTTATAAGGTTTGTATACGACCGGTAATGTCTTACGCGGCCCCTATTTTTGCACACGCTAACTCTAAAATCATAAACGAACTTCAAATAGTCCAAAGTCACTTCTGTCGTCGAGCTACGAACGCACCTTGGTACGTCCGTAATGCCGACCTTCATCGGGACTTAGAAATCCCAACAATACAACAATTAATTAAAAAAATCTCTGAAAACTTTTTCAAAGTCTCAGAGTCGCATAATAACACATTAATTCGTGAGGCAGCTAGTTATGCAGCCCCACTCCCCACCCGCTATCGCGTCCGCAGGCCGAGAAACTCTCTCTCGGATCCGCCAAACAAACTGTCAAACGACTTGAACTGCCTCCTGGCGGCTCAGTCAAATTCATAATAATTTTTCATAATTAAATTTTATTCATAATTAAAATGCCCTCGTAGGCACTCCCTCAGCGGCTTATAGCCGCCTGCGCCCTCTTTTTCCCAAAAGAGGGTCGCTTTACGACACGGCATGTGAAGCTTTAAACAGCTGGTTGTCAGTCCCCAAAGGCGGTTTTTAGGGGGTATCACTTAGGCTCCCCGGTTAGGCGTGAGTCCCCCATAGCCACGATGGATGGCCTATCGTGGTATGCGTAATGCATTTACCGCCTCGCTACGTAAAGGGTAGCCCATTTTCCAATTGCTTCGGGCGAAAAAAAAAAGACATTTGGCAACATTATAACGAAAATAAAAGAAAAAATTAAATATTTTGAATATAATGATATTGAGTAGAATTTTTATGCAATAAATATGTTTCCCAAGTAAAAAAATCTCTTACCTGACTTTGTGTTACAACTTCTTGATGGCATGGGGTGCATTGGCTCATCGCAGTCGCATCGCCCTAATAAGTAACATTCTTAATCAGTAATGAATATTTATATACTAGTAAGTTCGGAATAGAAACGAATGAAATTTAACGATTCTTAGTACTTAAAATACTTCGTCTTGGAACAAGCAAGAAACACAGCAGACCCATTTTTTAGAGAATAAGGGTGACAAAAGAGTACACAGTCCATCTGATCGTAAGTGGAGGCTGTGACTCATAGACATCTACATTAATTCCCGATTAAGAATCAAAATACAAATGCGTTGAAGCCCCTGAGGGCTAAAGTATAATACAATGAAGAGGGTCTCAGGTACCTTTTTTAAGGATACATAATGCGGAATCCTTTCGACCTTGTCATATATATTCAGAAGGCAAAGATCCCGCTAGTTAAATGTTTGACTAATTATTTTACTTATATATTTTAAAGAAGGGAAAAGGGTCTGACGCTACTTGGTTGTACCTCATATCCCCAATTAAATAAACTGCTAACGTCAAAAAAAAGAAAGCTGCAATAATAAATCTATAAATACGCATTACATATTTGAGCCTTCACTGTAGAGATAATTTCTGTACATGATATGCACATAAGCGTGTCTGTTGAAATTGTATAGCAATTCATACGCAGCTAAATTTTGCCCATAAGATAAAGAACGCGGATAGATTCAGTGCAAATTTTAATTTAACGCGAAAATATAAATAGTTAATTATCGTATATGTTAAAATGTTAATCACTGCAAATATTTTAATCAAAATAATAAATTGAATCAACAAATACGTACGCTATAAACAGTTTTTATTCAGCGTAATCGATTATTATTGACACATTTTTTTACCGACACATATTCGCCGAGTAATGATTCAGTAGTGGACATCTGCTGGGCTGTAATGATAAATAATGATGATAGGGCTAGTGCTTTTCTTTAATCCTAGCTAGTAACTTTTCAAAAGCGCAAAGACGTGCTTTACAAAAGGATATCATTACTGATTAATTTCTTTTCTCTGTGTAAAAATTATTGTTCTTTACAAAATAAATAGTTATGAGTAAAATAGGTTTGTATTCCACAAAATTCTATAAAGCGATCGTACTAATGTTACCTCTTGTAACAGAATTATGCAAAAGTTGTTCTATACTCGGAGATAAGTCAAAAAAATATTATTAAAAATGGTTTATAAAAAATTATGTTTTTAAAAAGTTGACACCTAAAAAGACCCTTGTCATTTTCTTAAAAAAAAGAACTATCAACTTCACAAAGTCGGTTATTCATGCATGGGACAATGTATACGCTAAATTCCAGAAAATTGACAAATATTTCAATAACTAAAAAAAAATTAAATAAAAGATTGTTTAAAAAGAGTTGTTTTAGTAATAAAGAATATAAGGATATCAATAACATCTGGTAATTAAGTGTTCGCTATGAAGCCATTTTTTATTTAATGTGTCATTTAAAATGTATCTCAAAAAAGTCCTGCGGGAGTTGTTATTGATCATTCCCAGGACAGCGGTATTTTCTGAACCAATAGTAAATTAAACTTAAAATGATTTTCAGTATGTTCTTTATATAATCTACTTTGAATAAAAAACTATTTTTATTTTCTTTCTATAGAATCTAACTAATTGTTACATAATATATTTATCGGCATGGAAGTGTTAAATTTTCTTCAAAGAACGCGCGTGAATCAAGCAAGCGTACCTCGGTAACTGGTATCGAAATATGAATTTAAAAACTATGTCGTATGAACTTAATGTCATACTTACATTATTTATCTTTAAGAAATACCTTAGGATATATTCATCCTAAGGTTTTTCTTAGAATAGATAGGAAATATGATTTCTAAGGCTTTTGCTCCCTTTTAAAACAGTACTTATACTTTACCTTTAAGTGTCCAGCAATAATAAAGCTGCCAACAGAGGCAGCTCTAGTCCTATTAGTTTTTGTATAGATTTTTGTGAAATTTATAGTTTTAAAAAGTATTGATAATTACAAGATAATTTTGGCATATTGACGAAGAAAATAATCCATCTAGACAGAGAAAAAAAATTAAGTAGTTTGGTTAGGTACCATTACTGAAATGCTAACTATTTTAACATTGTCGATATAATTTGACAACAAGACCAACTAGACTGTAAAATAAATAATCTACGTCATTTTAAGATGAAAATTCCAATGGAATACTTCACTCCAAAGTTGAGACTGAATCTTCACACTTTACAGATTGCTAGATATTAGAGTTAGTGATTATAAATGTTGTCATTTTGTTGCATTACCAAAAATCTCACTAGTTAAGACATCAGCGTCGGTTTTCACATATTACAGAATATTGCATTACCTCTGGATTGTTCTTATTCAGTTTCTCAAGAAGATTTGAGTTTTCGATGTTTAACAATTTTAATTCCCCTTGCAGCCTTTTTATTTGCCCACGACATGTTTCTAAGTTTTGATCCTTTGTCATTAACTCCTTGTACAGAATATATCTGAAAGTACATATATAGAGTACGAAACTAACCGTATGTGTTCCATGTTGCTTTTAGATCGTTATACAACGCATAATTTTGAAATTAAATTCAACTGCACGTTTTTACGGATTACATTAATAATGTTTGACAAATAGATGACAAATGACTTTTTTAATCTATAAAAGATTTATCCGTATTTATGGTTAAAAATAAAAAGGATGTACATAATATACAGGGTTATTTTTCAAAGAGTAGTCAAATATTAAATTTAAGTTCAAATATATAAATAATGAAATACAGTTACTGCAGTTATTGAAAAAAAAACAAATAAGGCTTCTACTTTTATCTGAAATTATCCCAAATTAATTTACACCGATCGACCCTTACTTTTTAAATTTAAAAGATACTATAACGGACAGAATTTTTGAGATTTTTTCATTAATTTTTCTTTACCATTTTCCTATATTACATATTTTGAACCTTATCTGCAAATTTGGCCAGTTATTGCAAAACAACCCTGTATATAGTAAGCAATTGCAAAATTTATCGTCACAAATTAAAGAGTCCAAAGTTAAGGAGAGTTGATAACTCAGTGGCGCAGTGGCTTAGCAATAAGTTGCAGCACCAAGGGCCGTGGGTTCGAATCCCGCACGGAGTATGGCCTACAAATAATTGTTCCGGGTCTGAATGTTTGCCCTTGTGAAATTTATGTATGTAAACTGCCCCCACGATACATGGGAAAATCCTAGTGTGGGGGTAACATTTAAAAAAAAAGAGGAAATAAGAAATAAATAAGTCCGTGGGAGAAGCAACTAAAGAAAGCTCATTTAGAACACTAATTCCCTATTAGTCTTTAAACAAATAAATAAACAATAATATGTATTCATCCCAGTGATAGGAACAAGCATCCTTCCATTTCTGAGAGGGCTTAGGGCAATCAATTGTCCGCAGCGTAGCTTCAATGCGTGTTGGCAGACTTCTCAAGTCTTCAATTTTTTTTAATATCTCAGATTTCCTCAAGTTTCCCTTCACCGCAAAGCACGCGGTAAATCAGCGCTTAATAATGAAACTAACCAGTGGGGATAGAAACAGAATTGAAATATTTTATCAAATCGATTTATTTAAAGGATTCATACTAAATGTTTCTTAGGCGGCACAGCTCTTTGAAAAAACCAAAATAAATCCAAGAGACTGTAGAATCACCCAAATATTGACATATGCAGGACAAGATGTCAGATTGTACTCTTCAGTGGAAAATTCACTGTAATGGTCATGCGGTGGCGGATCCCATATTACAGTACCGGATGTTCACATCTTTTCACATCGTCGTTTTCGCGTCGCAGACATTTACACCTCTCCATCACCGGACTTTATATCAGTTTTCTTTTAAATTTACCACAATTGGCTCTTACGATATTCATAGAAAGTGACAGAGTTATGAATGTTCTCTTTTATACTACCCTAGACTGAGAGATCATGAAACAGTACAATGTAATCTTCTACACATATAAATAAAATTGAAGTGACTGTAAATCCAAATAACTAAAAAGTCTTCTTTTGGACTAAGGGGGTTATCGGAATATTTTTAAGACATGAATAATCATTTTTAAAACATTTCTCTATCTGTCCGTCTGTCCATCCGTTTGTCTGTATATATCTGTTCGGTCTAAGCTTCCGATTGGCTAAACCAATTGCGATGAAATGTAACGAATAGAACGAGAATAGAGAGCAGTGTCAGAGTGATCTATTTTTTTCCGGAAATCATAGAGGGTTCTAAAGTTTGATATAAAATCGATTTTTAACTTTTTTTACTTTAGCACCAGTTTACAACAAAACAGGTGTTGTTGGAGGGATGGAGTGTTAATGGATAAGACGATAAGACCGTTTTACGTAAAATGATTACATCTTTAATTTTCATTTTAAAGTTTTTACCATATTGTACATATTTTAGAAACAATAGCAAAGAAACAAGAAGAATTAAAAGTGATATGTCTTAGACTTAAGGTTTAGACGCACTCAACTTGCGGCAAGATTACTTTATGATCTGTGCAATAACAAGTATGGTTACACAGATATAATTAATCGTATTAGTTACTCCGTACCACCTCGCGAAGTATCCGTTCTTTGTGTCCTCACTCGCTCTTTGCTGTGCCAAGATCTCGGACAGACGCCGGTATCCATCGCCCCTTCATTGTATGGTTGACACATACAACAAAAACTTTAATTCGGTAGCATTATTTTCTTCCAGTACCAGATCATACAATAGACAGCTAGTTAACTTGCTGTTAAACACTTAATTTCTAATTAAAGTCTTGAACACATTTACTACTAACACTAAGTTATCTAACCAATGACTATATAATTATGTACGAGTACATGCATACACACATACGCACAAACACACACACAAACACACACACACACACACACACAAACACACACACACACACACACAAACACACACACGCGCGCGCGCGCGCGCCCACACACAATAACACACGCACGCACGCACGCACGCACACACACACACACACACACACACAAGCGCGCGCGCATGTGCTGACATACAAACACACAAAACTATCTTCCAATACATGTTAAAATAATATTTTAGAAATTAAGGTATTTTTTTTACAAAATTAGGTCCCTTACATAATTATTGTTTTATACTCTAAGTATGACCATCGTCGTTGAGTTTATGGTAAGTAAGAAATTGTAATAGAACATAATATTAAGCTTTAGCATAAGGTATATTGTAAACTTGTTTGTGTTTCTCTAAATAAATAAATAAAAAAACTATGTTTTCTTGTTTGAGTTCTACGCAAACGAAGCCGCGGATAAGAGCTAGTACGTAATAAAGCATTATCGGCCTGTTAAGTTATTTCAATTACAATAAATAGAAGTAAATTACACCCCACTAATGACTATAATGATTTAAATCTAAATCAATATATAATTAAGATTACTTCCAAGTGAAATTTAATCTAAGCCTCGAAATAATTATCTTGTTTACGTTATTTTCTTTACGACTGGCTTTTCGTCTGGCTTTATATCTCTTTTAAAGATTTATTGTACATTGTGACCATGAACCATGCCCCGCGTATAATATGGGACTACACGATACAGAGAACTCAAGTGAACTTTGGATCTACATCACCCATTACAAAATAATTAAGTTTTTATGATTTCACTGAAATTGACCTTGATATTACCACGTGATACGCGCGAAGATAGAGTTAATTCTAAAAATAATCGTAACCCCCTCCTTATTTCATTACAATCGTCACCTCAAAACGAAAAAAACTATCTACTAAACTAGTACTTCCCTCTTTATTGCTTTTTCATATTAATATATTTTAAAATCTTAATATATAAAATTCTGGTGTCGCGGTGTTTGTTACCAAACTCCTCCGAAACGGCTGAACCGATTTGTATGAAATTTTGTGTGCATATCGGGTAGGTCTGAGAATCGGCCAACATCTATTTTTCAAACCCCTAAATGATAAGAGGTCACCCTTATATCTTTTTTTATTTTTTTGAGAATTTTTTTTTATTTTTATTTTATTATGATTAAGCATTGAAAAATAAATAAAACATCAAATTTTTACCTTTCCACTATCAACCCCTGTTTGTTGTTTTTTAAACCGCAATTTTTAAAACTAAAAAATATTTCTTAGTAATAATGTATATAATATTTCCTAGAATAATGTAAACAACGTTCGCCGTTTCTGCTAGTTTGTAATTATAATATTTTAGAGCTTATTAATTCATCATTTGAAAGCATTCAGCTGCTAAAATTATCTTATAGCAATAAAATATAGAGAATTTGCAATTAATTCCATGATATTAATATAGAATCGGATTGGCTATAGTATGTACCAGACTTTTCAAATCTCTAATACTGCGTCCAAAGACATTTAAGTAGTAGACCCATATTTAAATCTCTTTGCGTCCTAGTATCCAGTATTTTAAGTACATATAAGGTCGTATCTATCTTCACTTACGGGAAGTTCTTTAAGTTATAATCATTTTTCGTCATTATCCTACCGATGACCAGAGATTCGGTTCGAAGGAAAAGACCATAATAATGCAACATAGATTGTGGATACAGCGGTTATGTGATTTATTTCGACAACTTCTAATGCATTGTACTCGTACTGAGTATTCTAGGTTTCCAGGCCCCTTACACGGATATCATTAATCAACAATTTAGAAGTGTTATAAAAAACAAGGATACTCGTAAAGTGTAACATGTTTACCAATATTAATTATATAAGTTATGCGTCATAGTACATTCTATTAAAAATGGACGTTAATGACATAATATATCAAACGCAATATCATAATTATATAGACATAACACTTCTCTTGCCTTTGGCTATGGTCACCAAGTTCATGCTGTCAAAAACTTAAGTCAAAAAATATTTTCCGTTTCCATTATAATAACAAAATATAAACTTTTTAATACAATTTCCATACAAATTTAAAATGGTTCCACCCAAAACCTATAAACCAACCGTTAGTTAAATACTTGCTCCACGATAAAGGAAAATATTATAAGGAATACTGTATGTCTGTTCATCGCACATCAACATGCATTGCGGTAGCGCGGTGGATACTTCCTTTCTTCAATTTTTTTTTAGAATTGAGAGGAGTGCATAAGGCGCAATAGTATTATTAGTAATATTTGTTTAATCAAAAATAAATATAATTAAGCCAGTTTTTGTTATCATCCCATGCAATTTTTCCTTATATCTTATTATTTATAAGTACAAAGCTACAAAGGATATACTGGCAAACCTTTTCACTTCTAAATCCGCGTTGTCAGCAACTAATTTCTCTTGCATATCGTAGCTTTCAGTCAGTTTCCGAGTGAGGTCAATTTCCTTAAAAAAACACAAATTGACTCGTCAAATCTATATTTTTCTATTTTTATTTTTTATTTTAATTACATAATACAATTCGAACATTAAGCACGTACAGATTTGCTACGAGGTATCGATCCACCGGGTACTCCTGAATTACAAAAATTTCTGCCTCCACCAAAAGTTCCAGCAGGAGTACTTATTTTCATTTCAAAATTCGATTCGTCTGCGAAAATAAAGTAATTTTAATTTACCTTTTCAATTGTATGTATCGATATAACTTAAATTAAGCCAATTAACATCCGCGGAATGATATGGGGTAATGGAACCTGACCGTACGACTATCAATATTGCTATATTACGGTTAAAACTTTAAAGCAATATGATTAGCGAATATCTCAACTGGGCAAATATTTTATTAATAACAATTTTATTATATTTGCTCATTTTTAATTCTTATACATTAAATTAAATTTTATTTCTCAATCGTCAATTTCCAATTGAAAAAGAAAGTGAATTGAAATGTAAATTTATATAATGTTTATTACTAAGAATTTGCATCATTTAAACCACCAGTTGTACACCACCATATAAAATGAATTATATTATATAATTTAAATTAAATTTGCTACTTTTAGTTTCGAGGCAGCGCTGCAGGATCGCGGATCAAGTCCCACACGGAATATATTATGTGGTGTGATCTACAAATAATTGTTTCGGATTTGGAGTTTGTCCATATGCAATTTATTTATGTAAAATGCTTTCAGGTACAAGAGAAAATCCTACTGTGACGGTAACGTTTAAAAAACTTATCTCCATACTTGGGCAATTTTCCAATTAAGTTAAATAAAGTCCCACAACTATGATGGCAAAAATTATGAAGCCATTTTCTAATACATTTTCTACAGTAATATGAGAGACAATACAATAAGGTACTTAATCCAAAAACTCTAGTAATATTAGAAATAACATCAAAATCCATTCAGTAAACTTAACATTTTAACGTAACGTATATTTTGTAAAACAAAGAACATTTTAATAAAGTTTTTATTAATACTATTCATAAGCTATTATTTGACTACAATACCACTTGGTGGTAAGTGGTGATGGTAAATCGCACTGCCTTAGCGTAACAAAAGCCTATTGACCCTTGCCTTAAAGACGTCTTGAAAAGACACACGCCGACAGATTATTCCATTCCTTTGATCACGCAATCTGTTTGGTTCGAAGACGTGAAATATTGACAACAAAGGAGTGAAGACCCGCCAACCGCCTGATCTTTTGATGGTGGAAAGGGGAATAAGCAATCAAAGCATATAAATGCAGGATATTGTACACTCTCCGAAATGCAACCTATAAGATACCGAGAGGCTGGCTACTGCCGACTATGTGCGAAGCTGACAAGATTGATTTCAACCAAATCAACATTGGAAACCTTGATTTAGTTATAAGCCTCTTTGGTAGCCTTTTATAGTAGTAGCGTATTATATGTACTTTCAAGTTTTATACCTTACTTTTAAATTTCTCATAAAAATAACATACTGTGGAGATGAATAATGAATAAATCTTTTTTTAATTTCTAAACTACTCAATGAAATACATTACCTTAAACATTCACATATTAAGACTTTGTAATTTACACAAATTTGTACCATGTACTTATAAAAGAAATGATAAACATGTTGAATTGGAGCAATGTAAAATATTGAGGCCGTCGACGGAGTGCACTGATATTTTTTTTTTATAGGATAGGGTGACAAACGAGCACACAGTCCACCTGATGGTAAGTGTTTGCTGTGGCCCATAGACATCTACATTTATCCTCGTTAGCGAATCAAAATGCAGATGCGTTGTCACCCGTGAGGACTAAGATGTAATGCCTCTTTTCCAGTAAAAAGGGTCTTCGGTTCTCTACACTCACCATACGAAACACAGCAGTGTTAAGCTGCTATTTGACGCTGGTATTCTGTGAGAGCGTGGTCCTTCCCCGGTCGAACGTAGGTTATATTCTCTTTGACGTGGAATGCGTAAAATAACCAATTTTGGAACAATTGAAGTAAACAAATGGGAATCATCTTTCGTTTAATACAGCGTAATGCTAAGCTTTGGTTGTTTGTGTCTGTGTTGTGATCTTGTTTCAACGTAGTTTATATAATTACTACCATTACTGACCTATTCATGCTACAACTATAGATACTTCTAATATAGCTACAGCATGGCTCTACCACGTACAAAAAAAGTGCAAAACTTCTGGCATTTCTATTGACAATACGCCTTTTAAGCGTGGAAGCAACTGTAAATATCCTTCAAAATAATGATGCCAGTCCAGCAGCAGACTAATACAAGACAACAAAGAAAAAAGACAGCATCAAAAGCTCGTCACAATCTACTGATTGATAATCCTAAGTGGACTTGATGAAAATATTCATGAAATAGTTTACCGAAAAGACCCGTCGACATGTTACCAGTGAGGTCTGGGGACTTCTCTCTCGACTTACTAAATTGGTGTACTTGAGCACCAACCAATTTTTGTATGCTCTTTGTCAACCGGTCAAAACGTTCCATTTCACGAAGCAGTAATTCATTTCGCTCCCCAAGCTCTTTTATGTCTGCCTCATTTAAAGCTGTTTTCTAAAACGTATAAATGATAAGTAAGATATATTTTAATATCTATTGTCTCAGAAAATGTTTGCGCTGGTAACTTAAGATATCAATGAAAAGTCAATAAAAGTTGTAAAACTGATTCTTTACATAAATTAATATGTGATAGTAGGTATGCATTACTACCTCCCACCGACTAAGGATATACTCGTAGAAACACTACATACTGTTACATATAAAAATTTAACAAGTGAGATGCGGGAAGTAAAGACTGTGTAAGAACCTCCGAAGGAGGCGGGGTTATAGCCGAAATAAGAATTTTAATTTTTTTTGAGTCCCCTAGGAGTGTAATGAAAACTTTTTGCCCATATTCAACCATGACCCCCATGATATTCTCTACATGATAGGCTATTGAAACTGACTAGGCCTAAAGTTCCAGTCACCTCCCATCTTATTTTTTTCGCTTTTAAATATTACTACAACATTGTTTTGGCTAGCGCTGGACATATTCCTACATACATAATAACAGTAAAGTTAAAATAGAGTTAAGATTTATCACATACAGTTGTTTGAAATTGAATTTACAACATTGAACATTAAATTGACAGCGCAAAACATTAACTCCCATAGTTCGATCATTCCTTCAATCAACATTAACCTAATGGTCAAAGATGCGCCTGCAAACTTGAAACACCGTATTTTTTTATATAGAATTAGGGTAACAAACGAGCATACAGTCCACGTGATGATAAGTAGTTGCTGTGGCCCATAGACATCTACATCTATTTTTGTTTGCGAATTAAAATACAGATGCGTTTTCACCTGTGAGGACTAAGATAGAATGCCTCTTTTCCAGTAAAAAGGGACTTCGGTTCTCTACACCTACCATACGAAAGACAGCAGCATTAAACTGCTATTTTACGCTGATATTCTGTGAGAGCGTGGTCCTTCCTCGGTCGAGCCGACCCATACGTGCTAAAACTATACTATAAATATAGCAGCAGCATGGCTCTACCACGTATAAAACTGCCCATATCGTAAACTACCCATTTTTAGCTTGCTTTAAGTGACTAAAGGTATGATTTTGAACTCGGCAGCACGCAGTAGTACCGCCGTGGCAGTGCTGCAGCAACACTACTGGTCCCCATACATTCTCTATAGGTTTATATGAGATTACATTCCGGGCGCGGCAGCAATGCAGCGGCATTGCAGCAATGCAGCGCGGTGGTGTCGCCCTGCCACCGCGACAGACCAGTAGTGACATGTCCGCCGCAGCGATATTGTCTATACGAGAATGTGAAAAAATAAATTTGGAATAAATTATGAATTTCTCTGATTCAGAAAAGGAACAATTAGTTACCTTGGTTGAACTTTATATCCAGCCCTTTACGACAGCAGTCATACTAATTATATCGTAATAATTTTATAAAAGAGAATTTATCGAAAGATATTAAATCGAAAGAGATCAATAAAACAAGTTATTCCTCTTCCAACAATATAAATAAAAGTTAGTGATCAATCTAAATCTTGTCAACTCAAAACAACTGAATAGATACACGATAGCACAACACCAAGAACAGGGCAACACTGCCGCCTTGCTCGAAATCAGCGCGGCAGGTAGCACTGTTGCGCAGCACCACAGTGGCAACACTGCCGCGGCAGCACTGCTGCGTACTGCCGAGTTCGGAATCATACCTTAATACTCCCAGTATTATGTTAATAGAATTACTAGTATTCACTTTGAAATTAAAATCAAGTCCTTGACATATCGAGTAAGAAATTATAATAATTCACTACATCTGCAGTTGTGTGTCGATACGGAGTCCTAAATGATAATTAATCTCTTCTTCGTTGGTAATGGAAAGCATTGTAAATACATAACTCATATGCCTGCAAAAAAAGTTAATCCGAAAATATGTAGAATAACATGGTCCATCTATTTCCAAAACCTGGTTTCCAAAAAAAAAACGGCTGTGCCTGATGTTATTATTGTTCGTGCTATTTAATTTAATAGATTATAAAAACGCAAAAAATGTATAATAAAATAATAAAAACATATGGATACCTTTTGTAAATTAAGCAATCTAGCTTTGGAATCTCTTATAATTCTTGCACTTTTCCTGTTGTCATTATGAATATCTTGCAGTAATCTTGTTAACGAATCTTCGACATCCACTGCAAAATGAGAGCCCAATTTAAAAAGAAACAGAAAAAAGTTAACAGAAATCTATAGCCTCTTAGACTTTGAATATTTTCCATAGATGCGACGATTGGCAGGTGTGATGGCAACCGCAGTTTTTTTTTTACAAGTATTCGTATAACGTAAAAATAATTGTTCCGGGTCTGGATGTTTGTCCTTGTGCTATTTATGTTTGTAAACTGCCCTTTTAAGAAAAATAAGTGAAAAACAAGTTGTTATTAGGAGATTACTGTTGCCCAAATTCTTTTTAATTTTTCTATATTGCTAGCAACGACGCCTACGGAATGATACAAAATTAAAAATCTATTAAAATTTTCAAGGAGTTGATCAAGCTTATTAAGCATATTTTATGTACAAGTAATATATTCGAAATGCCTCGGGTGTATTTTGTGACCTTTCCATTGCTTTCGGCTGTGTTCTCCATCAGATTTTATACAGAAAGCTACAACATTATGATGTGAGGATCACAGGACTGAAACTTCTTATTTCATACTTATGGAATAGAATAAAGAAAGTTATGATCAATGGTAAAAGCTTTTCTCTAGTCAACTGTATTAATGGGCACTCCTTAGGGTTCAATTTTCGTTCTATTCCTGTTCGTAGTCTCTATTGTAGACTTACCTTATAGGTGATATAGTATGGTAGGCCGTGATATACCTAGTGTTATTTTCTGTTTTTAAACTTAAACGGCAATCGTATAAACATGACCAAATGAATAACGCTAAATGCTACATCAAAATTAGTACGTTAGTTTAACGTTTACTGTTTATACTAAAACTGCTATAAAACTAAGTGTATAAAATTTACAACACCAAACACACAGTTCTGAAGATCAGTGTGTTTTAAATGGGTTGTCCTGGTATTTATTCTCGACGTAATACTTCAGTGGGATCCCCATTTATTAAAACTAGCAAGCAGACTAAGCTCTACAGCTTATGCTGTAAAAAAATTGGAAGTCTCACTTGCATTTTGAGAGCTACATTAGATTAATTCAGTGAATGGAAATACCATAACATAATTTCCACACATTCACATTCAATAGTTGACCTTATTTCGCATTATTTTTTGGTATTAATTGCCATACATTACTTTAAGTCGCTTAAAACGTTTATTATAATATTCCGTTGAGCTTGTCACTTGTCAACAAGAACGTATTATTTAATAAAGTGCAATGCAAATTACAACTGATTGGTATTATGATATTAACACTATTCAACTTAAACTCGTTCACAGCTAAAATGGTAACGCATACTGCCGCTCAACTTGAAATTCATCCATGTTTTATTTACATTGTATGGGACAATATCAACCAAGTCCCAGAAAATCCGTAAGGTTTTAAATTACCAAGATTAAATAATTTTATCAACAAAATTGTGTAAATACTATATAATAAAACTTAACACTTAGTTGATATTAACCCCTGGAAATTAGGTAATGGCTTCCAAGCTGTAAAGTTCCATGTGAGATTTTAAGTAGCTGTACATTGTACAACCTGTGTTTTAATTACATTATTTTACGATGATAAAAGTCATGCTTGCTTTCTTCCCGGTTCATACCGGATACAGGATATTTTCCAAACCACTGGTAGAGGATAAAACATTATTTGTAATCTATAGCGAATAAAAATTATTATATTCCATTCTATTTTATTCAACCGACTTCAAAATAGGAGGAGGTACTCAATTCGACTCTGTTTTTTTTTATTTGTGTTACTTGATAACTTTTATCTTGGTGAAACGATTTTGATAACTCTTTTTTTTTGAAAGCTGGTATTTTTCATGTGATCCCGTATAAATTTGATCAAGGTCTGACAAGTAGTTTTTGAGTTATCCTTTATAATTTATATTGAAGTTGGTTGTACAAAATTTTTAATTTTACTACTTGTTTTAATAAATTTCTATAGGTCGGCGAATACTCTTACGTCGCTAGGCCACGGCGAACACACAATGAGTGTAGCAATCACTACCTCGTAAGTCCAAGCTTGAGCTTATTAGCTTTTTTGAGCTTATTATTGCGGAAGTCATCGGAGATCTAAACAGTTTTTTAATGCTTTTGATTATTTATTTATCCACAGCCTTGTCAACATCTTGTGGTCTTGTATATGTACGGACGCAGTTTAAAAAGATTTACAATTTGCGCGATTTATCGTCTATGTTTACATCATCCTTCACCATCAGAATATCTTCAACAGGCATGATTTTGGCTTATCCCATCACTTTCAATAAAAACGAATGTCCAGCTTTAAACTAATTACTAATGATGACCCACTACTGAGATAAAATGGCAATGTGGTTTCCGTTACTGTATTATTCAAACGTTGGCATTTAGAATAAGTATAACGGTACGTATTTAATGAAATGAAACTAACAAATGTTAAAAAAAGATTAGTGAAATAAAATACAGGTTCAAAACAAGTTTTAGTGATTACATTTTTACGATCACAAATCACAAATTTGATTGCGTCAATTAACAATTTCAGGCGCAACATCTAGGAATGGCTTATAGCAATAATTTTTGGTTGAATGATATAAGTTGCTCTAACTAATTTGTATGAAGCTAAAAACCGAAAATGTTTAAAGTTACTATCTATTTTATCCACTAAACAAAAATACAGAGTCCACTGAGCAAAAAACTATACAGACTTTATTATTTTTTTAACTTTAATAACTTACAGGTTCCAGAGTTCTGTAAAAATTAAAACAAATTACTCATCGATATTTAAGAATACGTATACATATTAAACATTATTATTTTTATACGGATTTTACCTGAGGTATTCTTGAATACATACAGCATTTTGCTGTTTTCTCCTGTTTTTGACTTTCGTGTATTTTTTGTGTTTCAATTTCAAGATTCCTTGGATGGAGTAGTGTTTTAACACACCTACTATAATGTGAATTCTGCATGGGTTCTGAATGTGAAGCTGTCGGAGACTTATCGTCTCCTTGTGCTGGCTGTTTTTCTAGGCGATATATTTCGTCAGTTTTAGAATCACTTCGATTACACTGTGAATTATTAAACATGGAGTTCCCTTATTTTCTATAACATAATTACAATACATATTTAGCAGTGATGTGGCTAAAAAAAACTACGTGATTTGAAAACGATTTATAAGTTGTTCACAACAAAATATAAAATGTAATAGACTATTTTTTTTTTACATTAGGACTTGAAGCAAACGTAGACAAACACACATTTGAGTCGCGCTTAGGTTTTATGGAGCAACAACCTGTGCAAGGTAATTAGCATTAACTCAATACATGAAACCGGATATAACGGACAAAGTAATGCACTTTGGAAGAAGCCATGTCGATCAGTAGAAGATCTATCGTAGGCTGATTATGATGATTACGATGATACCATCTTAAAATTTGTATTTAGCAAGCAAACATCTTTTTTCCAAATTAAATAAAAAAAGCATATCCACTGAATTTGGAAGAAGACCATATATCTCTTCCATTTAAGATCAGTTTAATATATAATTTATTGGTAAAAAAAAATGAGATGAATTGTGCAACTAATTATTATTGTATATGCACAGGCAGTATTATTTTTGACAACTTGAAACTTGTGCAAGGCTATTTTGATAAAGTTGAAGTTGAAACGTATGTCTCTGATTCTGTTTTAAATATCAGCAGTAACTTACTATATTAATTTCTGATGCGAAAACGTCACTTCTTGGTGATATGCAGTACACTTCTCTTCGCACCTGTTCGTACTTCTTGTGAACTTTTGATAACTTGGAATGTTCGAATTCCGGAGTGCTTAAAGTTTTATCTACAGAACAAGTTCTTCTTGGCGTGTGTACTACATGAGCACCTAGTCGAGATCTTTTCATATGAAGTTTTGAACTCTAAAAATAAAAATAAATAATTGAATGCGCTAATTATACTCCTGAAATCTTATGCTTTTTAAGTATTCTATGATAAATATGGTGTATTTACGACTTTTTCACATGAACGCAAGGCAAAAGATTGTAAATAAAACTATATTTAACATATACAATTACTAAATCATGCCCAAGGTAACTAAACATAACAGTAACTAAACAAATGTGTCGATTTCATATCAATATGTTGAACTTGAAATATATATCAAACTTATCAAAATTAAATAATTCTAATAAATAATTTTGGGTTTTACAAAGCGTAAACAGCTTCGCTTCTGCCGTGTGTACCACACTTCCTCATATAATAGGAAATTCTCTTAAAAAGTTATATGCAAACATATACCACTTAAAAATTGAAACTTTGAAAAATTACACAGACAAGTAATTATTCAATCAAAACAATTTACTTTCTGGGTAGTTTATAATGTATTATGAACATCAAAAATCATTGTATTATGAATGTAAATAAGCGAATAAGAAATTCTCACAACTTGAATTTTCTTTAAGATCTTCTATTACGTATAAATTTAAAGTTAAGAGTCGCCAGTTCTTGATGCAATATACAATTTTATTACATTTTGAACTACGAAGCTGTCCTTGTTGTCTATCTTTACCTACATCTCAACTTTCCTTTGCCGTATATTTGCGTGAATTTCACTATGGAAGTGAATTATTTCTATTACAATATTATTAGTAAATATTTACTGACTTGTATTCAGGGAAAATCCTTTATTTTAAACAGTGAAGTGCCTAAATTAATAATATTTAATTTGTAGGTTCATAACATGATTTTTTTTAAATTAAATTAATTTCCGTTAATAAATTGTTTCCTTAAAATTGCCTTTTCTTTTCTGAGTCTACTATTATTTAGTCTCTTCTACAAAACAATTTAGTTATTTAATATTATCTAAACTTTTTCTTTTTAAATAATAAACACACGGAAAAAATATTCAACTAAAAATTTTAAAGAAAGTACTAAGTACCTGACCTGAATATAGCAAACTTTTACAATGAGATTTATAAACCTAAAAATTATCAATTATAGAAAATTATGAAATGTCACAATGTTTTAAAAGTCAGCAATTGCCAACTGGATTTGTGATAAATCATATAAACATCAATAAAAAGTAGATCCGACTTCAAAAATTAAAAAAAATAGTTTCCACTTTAGCCACAAAATTTTAAAGTCAGTGATTATGATGATTTTGATGTTGAGTCGACTCAGAAGCGATTATGTGGAAATTATTTTTTACTTAATGTTTTTTTCTCTTTATTTTACCCTTTTGAGTGATGTACAGAATGTCACAAGGTCAGGGTAAGTAATTACTAAAATGTCATTTAAATACATTATTTACTCATTCCCTATTTTACCATTGTTTAATTGATTGATGATTTTATTACCGTGATTTTATTCCTTAAATTTATATGAATGTACTCTATTTATAAGTAGTTGAAAACATACATAAAAATATACGCGTTGAATAAAAAGTAATCGAGTGTAATACAATAATAATATATATAGTAGTAAGTATATATATATATACTTTGATACATAAACACTTAAAAAATATGTTCCTTTTCAACTTTGTTTAAAAATAACCTCCACTTAATTTTTCGTACGTTTAGTCCATGACGGAATCTCTTTTCGCTTTATGAGTTCTAACAAAATTAATGTACTCTGTCAGTTTATATCACATTTATTCACGGCCCTTTCATTACTAATTTGGCATGAAAGTATGTCTCGGATTTAATCAACAATACAAAGCAAAGGATAATGTCCAGAATCGCCCTGTGTAATAAAAGCATCGGACATACACGATAATTAATTTTCTATTTTATTATATTAGTTGCAAATACTTTTATAACACGGACTAGCTGCATGCAAAAATGAACATTAAAAAGTATTCTACTCGACTAATAACATTAAGTGCCGCCATCTTATAGATTGGACATCCCTAATCATTTTTCGCCACCAAACATCATGTTGTGGTGTCGAAAAATTATTAGGGATGCCCAATCGATCGTAATCGATTTTTGAATTTTTAATGAACTCTTGCATATTTTTTAATCTGAATTATATTTTGAATTTATTTCGAATATAGTTCCAAAAAGAAGCTACAATAAAATATTAAATTACATTTTCTTTATAGTCTTTTACATTATTCCCTAAAATTATAATTTAAAAAACTACTATACGCGATTTTGAATAGGTAGAATAATGCTGAAGAAAAATATTCGTAAAGAAAGGATTCAGGATTTTCTAATGATCGTTTAGAAAGGAGTGTATTTTACGTCCTACTAAACGATAACTTACGAGTTTACGACAATTAATATTAAAAAAAAAACACTTGTCGTTACTGCATTAATTATAAATGTGTTCTTTAAAAAGAGCAATATTGCAAACTAGATACAGATGTTATTATTGATATTGTTACAAGTATGGAAAAATAGCGACGTATGTGTTATTATAATTAATGTAAGATATTGTCATACTTGTTGTGGTATTAATATTGTCGTATGACAAAAGATTATGTATTTAATACTGTTTGTAACGTATGGCTATAATAATTCTTGGGAAATATTCATAATTCGTATCGTATTTGGCGCTCCTATTTTTGATGTCACTAAATGGTCACTTTTCGCTTGTCAGTCTCTCATGAAAAAAATACGATCTCCAAATTGATTCAAATCGAACATACTAGAATCTATTCTCAATTAAGTCAAGCATTAACAGATCTATTTTTGGTCAATGGCGACATTTTCAAACATGCCTAATATAGACACAGAACATTATTGACGATAATTTACCGTAAATATACGTAACTGTATACAGGAAACATCATTAAACTAATAAACATAACATCACGCCTGTATTTCCCAGAAGGAGTAGGTAGAGGTGTGTAGTACTGTTATGTTATACGCTCCATGTAATAGGGGCTGCGCGTATTGCCAAACACCGGACACAAATCCAGACTCCGTGCTACTATTAGGAACTTCAAGTTATTAATACCCACTAATAATTTGCCCGACCCTGGACAGAACAGTTTTTCTGTCTGTCACAAGGAACAGATGTTCCAACTATGCAAAAGTACGAGTATTTCTTGAATCGTTTGAAATATAAGCTAGTTCTTGAATAAGTCCGATTCGAGAGGTTTTTGTATCGACAACGGACAAGGATTCTTCAGATTTATATCGATCTGGAAAATCGATTATTGTACTATAAACAATCGATTAAGCGATTTCAAATTGACATGGCTACTTTGTACTGTCATCTCTCATTCTGTCAAAATTACATTGGTTGGCGTCGTTTTCAATTGTAATTGTCTTTGTGATTGTATCGGTGTTGTGGTGACTTTCGGGACTATATAATAATAAACATTACAACTTGGCTATTTTAACGGACTCACGGACGGATTGCTTTCAAGAAGGAATTACCTTGCTGTGATTTTCGGAACTGTTTGGGAACCGCTCAAACGATAACCTATCATTCATAAACGGACTTACGAATACGCAATGGAAAATGTTTGAAAGATGAACAGAGAAGCAATCGAGCAAAATTGCTGTAATTGCATCATTGTACGCAGAACTATCGGTTACTGCGCTCATTTTATGACCATTATTTGGTACTTGAGCTTTACGAGACATCAAAATAATATCGACATCCCTGCACAGTTTTTAGACAATATTCTATTTCCAATTTAGAAAATGACCAATAAATATGAAATTAATCTGTGTTTTATTTCTAATTCAAACATAGTAAGTTAATGTAGGTGTAAAAACAACTACCAATTAGGTACTAAGTCGGTAAGTCTGGTTTCATTCACGTTTAAACAGCGCCGTCCAGACGCACACGCTTGCAAATGCACTGAAACTTGGTTGACACCGTGGTTGATACGCTCGCTGTTCGACGGCATGTCTAGCGGCGTGACTGAAACCAGCCTAAATCCTTATACATTTAGGTACTGGGTATCTTACCGTACCGTATATGCTAATGACAACATCTAAATGCTAACAGCCATTATATACATACATTTTTATTTTTACATTAATACACACAAATATTATCTCTAATTTCAAAACTAATGCTCAGAAAGCAGGTTTGTTAACTAGTTTCTATACATTTATACGTTGCACTTACATCCACTTAGGCTTTAGTACAAAAACTGCATACCTAATTATGCAGATAGGTACTAAAAGTAGCTAAATGTTTTAGGATATCGTTTTTCAGTTTGTTAAAAATCACTAGGATCTATGAAAAACCGTAATATTTGTGGTTCGATTATAACCTCCAAATCTGATCCTTTTTTTGAAATATATCTATTATGCAGCTAGTCCGCTATAAAAATAAGATCATATAGGAATTTACTAATGATCAACAATAAAATACATAATTTTTCGATGCTCTTGGTTCCAGGGCGAACAATGTATGGGCGCAGAGCAATGTCCTTTGGGAAGTCTTTATTTAAAATATTTTTATCAAGAAGGAAATTTCTTTCTTTTGTTTCTGAGACTCTAATGGACAAATACCCAAACGCTACTCAATTTTAACAAGTCTCGTGGTGTCACAATCACTATGACTTAAAGACAGCACGACAGCACATTTTATACGTGGTAGAGCCATGCTGCAGCTATATTTCTGGTATAGTTGTAACACGAATGGGTCGGCTCTACCGGGGAAGGACCACGCTTTTACAGAATACCAGCGTAAAATAGCAGATTAACGCTGCTGTGTTTCGTATGGTGAGTGTAGAAAACCGGACACCATTTTTAATGGAAACGAGGTATTCCCTCTTAGTCCTTACGGGTGACAACGCATCTGCATTTTGATTCGTAATCGAGGATAGATGTAGATGTATATGGGCCACAGCAACCACTTACTATCAGGTGGAGAGTGTGCTGGTCTGTCACCCTTATCCTATAAAAAAATTGAGCATTTGGGCATTACAATG